TTTTCAGTAAGTCATGCAGCAGCAGAGGAGTGCCGCTTTCCCGTCCCCAGCGTACTGCCGAGCCACTGCTGCAAGGGTGACAATGTGTAACAATGGAGGCTGGAAAGATAAAATTGAAGTTGACATGAAAAGCGTGTGACAAAGAAGCCCTACAACTGAGATACCCATAGCCGAAAAATCTGTGAGAAAGTTGTTCAGCACCTGGCTGATACCCGAAGAGAGTTACATCATTATTCTTTTCATTGGAGAAGGCTGATGAGCGCTCCCCAGTAAATTCCAGCGGAGGCCTGTAATGAAGCGGAGCCGATGCAAGTTGGCACGGTTTTAAAACTCACCATATGTCCTAGTTCAGTTAAGATGTATTTCTGTCGCTTCATGCTTTTTGCATCCTTGATCAGGAAGAGTAATGAAGAGGGCGTGATCTCTTGCAGTTACCATTGCAGTGGCAAATGCACTCAACTGTTGTGGCCTGGACACCTGCAATGAGATACCTGAATACCCGCAATTTGAAATGCAAAGATTGTTCCTGCTGCGCAGTCCAAAATCAAGCAGTGCCGCTGTCTCTATAGTGAGTTCAACAAGCTTTGTAACCAGCCAAGAAACACGCAACAAAAAGTGAAGCATCTTCAACGCTAGGCATGTCCAATGCTATTTACAGCTTTTCTAGACCATCACTTCACCTAAAAATGTGTGGGAGCCCAGGCCTGAGCACAGAACTTCTGTGCTCTTTTTGACCTAGCCAGCTTAATTAACGTGGCTGTATTTCCTGCTACCTGCAGCTCCTGAAAACTCTTTGTTAAGCATAATGCATTACTATAATCCAATTTTGACGTGACAAAAATTATTGTTCTTCTGCCAAGGCATCTACGGAACTGCAAACTGTCATTCCCAAAGTGAGGGTGACAGTAGTGTAATTATTTATGCTAGTGTAATGAGGCTGATGGAAGTGGGCCTTACTGCCAGAAACCAGCTGAGGAGGTTTTTAGGGGTCTGACATGACTGTTCTGCGCAGGAGCACCTGCTGTCCAAATCCGGTCCTTTCTCCAGCCCCTGTTCTGGACCTCGGAGAAGCTTTTTTAGGGGGGTGAGAAAATTAATATCTGCAGATGTATTCTATTTATCTCACTTTCTGAATCTGCTAATTTTTAGTTTGGATTAATATTTTCTTCAGTTCCTGTGATAAATATGGGGAGTATTAGAAAAAATTCTGCAGGGTCCTAATTGGTTTCCAATGATTCATTCAGACAGCACATTTATAAATGGAAAGAAAAGGGGGAAAAGAGCGAGCAAGAGAGGAGAGTCTTTTGGACATAAACTGCTCATTTTACCCAGCTGCTGGAACATTTTTGTGGTACATAATTAATATTATTTTATTGGTGAAGAACTCAGTGTTGAAGTAAATTTCTTAGCCTGCTTCCTACCTTCTAGTGCTAGAATCCTTAGCACATTTCTAAGTCAAACAATGCTGTTCCCCCTTGGATTCTGAACAGTGGGTTAGAGAAACCTTATTTGGAGATAAGCAATGGGCCTTTGTTCTCGCTTTTTGTCTTTTACTTCTCTGTTCAACATCCATGTCATAGAGCACAAGGACAGTTCACATAATTTACTGTTTCAATTTTTAGAAATTAATAACTTCAATAGAGTTGGAGTTCAGCTGTTCCTTTATGCAAAGAGGGAGTCAAATTGTCCATTATAATGCTGGAGGTCATGTGGTAAATTATAAATTAAATGGTGGTCCTGGAATGCCCAGCCATCAGCTTTGACTGCGACTGCAGATTCAGTGAGGTCTCTGTGATGTACGTGCAATTAAGGCTCTACGTTGTCTCTGTCTAAAATTAAGAGTACTAAAGCAAAATTCAGCATAATATAAGTAAGCATTACCCCACTTTTTTTAGATTACCTCTTAGCAATCTTTTATCACACACTAGATTCTTAATCACTGTCAACTCAACTATACTTTCCTTCTCAGTAAAGAAAAGTGATGTTATGCAATGTTACTATGTAGATCATGCCCTGTTTTTTCTAGTACTATTTTGAGAGACTACATCTGAGTAAAACTACATTTTTGGTGATGCTAAGTCTTCCCCCAGCAGTTAACATTTCGTCTATATTTATGCGACATGACTTTACGCTTTGTGGGTTTGGCAGATGGAGGGATGATTTTCTTCCCATTTTTCATATGGTGAAGAATTTCCAGGAGCTAGTTTAGCAACAGCAAGCAGAGGAGGCTTTGATTTGTTTACTTAACGTATGTGTCACATATAAAAGGCAATGTCCTTCCACTGTAGTTGTTAATAACTAGCTGTTCCAAATGGATTTGTGCCAACACAAAATCCACCACCACAATTAGCAGTAATAGGAACTTCAGTTGGCAGCAGCAGTGAAGGCAGTAAAGATTAAATGACTGTGTGAACTGTCCCTCCACATTAAAACTGATCTACATTGGCAAAAAATTAAGAAAACTCACACCACTGTTACCCCTTACGCTCGTTCTACTCTGGTAATAACTAGAGAAAATACTGCTATCTGGGACTCGCTATTTTTCACATGACGTAGATTCACCCCTTTAATGACAAGAATCTGAGTATCCACACCAATAAATCATCTCAAAACCCTATACATGACTTTCAAATGCTTGAGGATACAAACAACCTTTTGAAGAAGATTGATTTTTAGAGGCATTTGCCAGTGAGGTGCCTGTTACTGACTTGTAGCCGGTGTTGCACATGTTCTTCCAAAAAGCCTGCTTGGAAACTCCACAAAATGACATCCAAGAAATTATTTTTTTTTTCAGGAGCTGCAAAATCTCTGCAAAATAGTACTCGTGGTAATACTTTTATAGCATAGAATATGATCTTGATCTAGAGCAGGTTATCATCAGAGCTGCAATAACAACAAAACCTCCCCCTTTTCATGAACCGTGGCTGAATTACGCTAATGAATGAAAAAAATTAGTATAATGAGGATTTTAATAGGCATTTTATTGTACAATATTAACTGATACAATACATTATAGATTAACCCAAGTTTCTTTAGAGTGATCCACAGTTTATTGTCTCACAGTTCCAACATGACATACTTTCAAAATACAAATTATTTTGCAGTTTAAACAAACCTCTAGCAATGTGCCAGAGCACCTCAGAAATATTTTAGGCATAAGAGTGCTCCAAACCTAACCTTCACATTCATGAACACAGTAACACATCTGCTTTGTAGGTCAGAGCGTGTGAAAAGCACAGCTGTTAAGCGTGACCTTGAAGAGGCTTTGCAGCTGCAGTTGTGTTGCAGCATTGAGTGACACATCTTTGTAACGTTTTGCACTTCCTGAAACGCCACATCTTAAACTCTGGGTTTGCATCCCGTTCCTTGTATTTATTATGGACAGAATTAAATCTTGCGAGTCAGTCAGACGTGTCAGTCCCTCCTGGTTGTTCTGAAAGCACAGGGCAACCACACGACAGAAGCTTCACAAACATACAGGGAACACCGTGTAGTTTTGTCAGTAACTTTAGCACGTGCCTGAATAGGGACGTGCCGAATTTATGCACGTGAATCTGGACGCTCTTGCTGTAGGGTTTTCAGGACTAGAGCAATTGCTTTGGTGCTGACAGTTAAAAGCTTCTGTGTAAACAGACGGCTGGTGCCATACTCTGACAGTGGTTAGACGTTCCAGTGATAATCATTTGCCAGGCAGCAAGCCTAGTGAAAAAAAGCCAAATCCAATTAAAATGCATCATCAGGTAAATGCGAGTCTTGGCAGCAGGACAGAATTATTCGCTTTAGACTTCAGTCAGGACACAAAGCAAACAACTCTTTTCATAGGAAATGTGACGCGCTACCAGCAATGTATGCTATACTGTGCATCTAACCAGTTCGGTCCACCAGCAGCACATCAGGAGACACTAATTCTACAGAGCACTACGTATGTAAACCAGATGCCATTTCCCCCAGTACTAACCGTTCCCTAATGGGTGCCCAAGCACTGGGCTAACCCAAAGGAGAGCTGTGTGTTTGAGCTCAGGGAAGCTCAGTGTAACATGGAACAGCTGATGCAATTTGCCTGCTGCGTGGGAAAGGCCAGCCCCGACAAAATCACAGACAAACCGAGCCCCCAGGCAGCTGGAACCGTCTCTCTAAAGAACTGGGCTCAGGCAGAGAGAGTAGAAAGAGACAGAAGAGCATATGTTTCACTGGTTTTGAGTTTATGGACGAATTTAAAGAGAATGTATGCTATGAAGAGGAATTTGTAAAGCAAATGCAGTAAGTCCAAGTTTTTCCCTGAGACTTGATTGCTTTTAAAAAGCTATTTGCTATTCATGAATAGCAAATGGGGAAAAACCATGGAAACACATTGGTTATAATACAGTAAAATGAACATGAAAACTTTAACAGCACTGAAGGCTACCATACACCACAACCGAAGCCTACAATTCCTTCCAACAACCTTGCCAGTCTGCTTTGAACTTCTTGAAACCACTGGAAGGTATCTACACGCTTGTGAGTAGATCAGAAAATTACACTGCTCCCAGAAAAGAAAAGGAAAAAAAAAAAAAGAAAATAAACCCCAAATCCCCACATTGGCTTATTGGCTGTAACACAAGACCTTCAAGCCAGGAAAGGACTTAAAAAGTAGAACACTGCAGGTTTCAGTTTATCAGCAGAGATACAAGACATCTATCTAACTAAAGGCATTATATAGAGGCCTGTTCCTGCCAGAGCTGACACGAGAATCAGGCTGAAGATGAGCAATCACGTCAGGGGTCAAGGCACCTCTACCCAGTATGAGCTGTTGAAGCAGAGCGTTCATAAAAGCAGGGTTTACTTCTTAAAGAAAAGGTCTATTAAAGAAAAAGACACAGAACGTTCCTGATTCATCTTGTTCCAGAACTTTATCACGTGTAAATCTGCATAGTCTGTGTATAACGTTTTGTACATTGAGAAAAGGTCAGTATAAAAATACTGCTCTCTCACTCTTTAGCCATACTATGAGAAAAGCACGGTTTATTATAACAGGAAATAATACTTTATTATAAAATCTGCATGTAAACAAATAACAAATTAATTGAATAATGGTTAATGGAAGTGCAAATTAACTTCATAAAATGCTATCAGTTCTGTATTTAACTATATATATATATAATTTGCTTTCTCCCATTCTAACGTGGTTGTACTCCCCCCCTCCCCACATTTAAGTTTAAAAAGGTTTATCATTGCTTGTTTTATACTAAAAAGAGTGTACGAGCCTGCGTACAAGTTTAAGTTTTGCTCTGCAAACAAGACAAGTCTATGGTGATACTTATCATCATCCTTTCTTATCTTTGCATCTCTGGTATCCACAGGACAAGAGGATATATAACATATGTACACAGTGAAAACGTGGGCATGTCAAGCCACTTATTTAGAGTCAGCTCATATACTTGCACACATTGAAACTTAAACTGTTCATCAATGAAGCAGACAGTGTAACTTCCAGACTTGCTTGTGCACCTTAAGGCATTAACGAGAGTCTCAACTGGTAAGTCATTCTTGTTATCACCATGAGGATCATCCATACATTTCTCGTAACAGTGCTTGTTCATCACCCACGAGCAACATCTGGCCTTGCTGAAAGCTTCTAAAGCACAGATAAGTCGTGACAAGACTTTGATTTTGCTTTGAAAGCCATCTTCTTATTGTTCTTTGCCACAATTCTCCCAAGGAATCGCTTTGCCTTTTTGCCTATGCTTTCTCTTCTTTTTGTGTTGGCCATTCTCCTAGCATTGTCTTCTTTACTGTCTTTGCGAAGTCTAATTTGCCGAACAATACCTTCAAACAGGTCCTTGACATTATGATGAAGAGCAGCTGAGGTCTCGATGAATTTGCAGTCAAACACAACGGCACAGGCCCGTCCCTCTGGATGGAAAGACAAAATGGGAGATGAGTGAGACATTTTCTCTTCATATATACTGGCAGAAAAACAAAACAAAAATTGACTTTAAGTAAGGAAAAGGCCCTCAATGCCACAAAAGAGCTTTACTACGTGGTAGGAAAGCGCAAATTTGCACTCATGGTTTTGCCCCCTTATTTTTCTTGGTTTTCTTGTGGTATGGTCAGAAATCTCATTTGACCAATGGTACTGAACATGAAGCAACACTAATCCTGTAGGCAGACAGACCAACCCCGTGCTGTTTAAGAGCTGAAGCTGATACCGGAGAGGCACTTGGCTGCACGCTTGCAGTCTGATTGGAATCGGTGTGAGGTACAGAAATAGTTTTTATTTCTTCTGGAAGTTGTTGAGCAATTATGCACCTCTGCCTTGCTCTAACAAGTGAGAGTTCTCCACACTAGTTACAAATGAAGCTGATACAGTGCACAAGGTCAAGACATTGAACAGATCACTACAGGTCATGAAGTTGCACACCGTCGGATTTGACTAGCACTGCATTCAAAATGCAAGATGCTCAATGTTCCACATGTAAACACAGAACTCTGGAACACTGCTGCAGTGCAAATTTCTATGTTCAACTTGTGGTAAATAATGGCAAAGTTGCAAGCCTAAGCAAAGTACGGATGTCACCACTAGGACATGTCAACCATGAATATGTATGTCACTGAATATACAATAATATAGACTTCTCCCATTTTCATACAGTGGTTCTGAAGTCATTGGCTGTCATCCACCAGCCTGAAAAAAGCAACAACCTCCTGATGAACTCCAGTCAATTCCCTGTGCAGGTATTTAACACAGGGAACATGGCAAAACCAGAGAGCAAGAGATGGTTCATCATCATCAAGGCACTGATACTTCAGAGTACTCTTCCCAGTTAAAAGAAAGAAAAAAAAACAACCCTAAACCAAAACCACCAAATGTTTAAATAACTGAAATTAATATTGGGCTGTTGGCAGTGGTTACTGCGCTCTAGTTACCGAAATGCTAGCTGGAACTAGCTGAGAAAACTCTCACTGATCACAACAGCAGAACGTATACAAAAAGACTTTGAGTTGTGCAAGCGTGGTCCTCCCAGCTCAGCTCAGATGTGGTGGAATCACTTCCAGAAGGAGGAGGATTGTACAGGCTGTATGGGATCACCCTTTTCAAAGGCAGCCTGTGCTCTACGACACGGCACTCCTGTCCCTTAAAAAGCATAGCTTGGGCTATCAAATCTTGATACTAGCAAGCGCTGCTGCACATGTAACATACAAATAAACCCTTTCGGTTAATACTGACCAACGATGAACCCTACACAAAACAATATGCTAAAGCTGCAGCTCTGAAGCATTTTTTTCTCTTGCATTGCAATTTAGAGCATTGCTCTGCACAGACACAAATCTTTCCCCCACGACCATCTCCACTGGTTTTAGTGGTATCAAGTCTCTCAGCATGAACCAGCTGGCTTGACTTCTCCAGCATGCCTCGAATCATACACTTTTCTACATCAAAACCGGATCATTTCTATGGGTCGTGAGCCTCCATAGCCTTTGCTACTTATTTATAGATTACTGTATAAATGAATAGTGTCTCTTACCATCAACTGAGACTTCCCGGGACCTGACCAGGTCGCTTTTATTGCCCACAAGAATAATGGGAATGTCTTCTGTTTGCCTTGCTCTTCTTAGCTGGATTCTTAGCTCAGACGCCTTTTCAAAACTAACTTTGTCTGTCACTGAATACACAATAATATAGGCATCTCCCATTTTCATGCAGTGATTCTGAAGCCATTGGCTGTCATCCTAAAACAAAAGGCAAGAAATAGATTTATTGCACTGAAAAATCTATTCAACACTGTCTGATTAATGATTTAATTAAAAGATATTTAATTAAAGATATTTTTCTTAGCTTTATTACAAAAAGTAAGTAAAAGTACGCCAACCTCCTATATATATTTTTTTTTGTTAAGATTTTGTTATTTAAAATATATTACAAAACAAAATTTTCTCGTTTCCAGAAATGGTATCATGTCTGCACTGATCAGATGGTGCCTCTCTAATTTTACAGTAATTCCCTGGGCTGCTCGTGTAAGTTGCTGCTTATTCAAAGCACTGAGGGACTCGCACCCCAGCCCTGTTCGGGTACCTAGACTGCCTGCCTAGCTAGGAGAAATCAATTGCCGGAGAGAACGAAAGCAGTATGAATTCTCCTTTCTTCCGTGTTACCGATCCAATAGAAGAGAGAGGCAGACACAGTTGTTCCATTTCTACTTTTTTTTTTTTTAAGCGAGCCCCTGCCGAAGCTCTAGAGGAGTAATATCCGAGATCTGCAGGTACCTGCTCCCAGATATCGAACACCACGAGCGATGCTTCTTCTCCGTCCACCACGATCGATCTGTCGTACGTGTTCCCTGCGGAAAAGCGCAGGACAGAGCAGTTACTCCTCTCCGTCCCCGCAGGCAGCCCGGGGGGGTGCGGTGGCCGTC